TATCAAAAATACTGCAAAAATCAAAACTTAGAAATAATAGTACTATACATTTTAAAAATAATAATGAAAATATGTTTCGTACACACCGGAAACATGTGGCTTTTGACCCCAAGTGTGACTATATCATTTGCATATGAATATACGTTTGGCAAAGAGCGTTTGACACCGGGGCTTACGGCTTTGTCTTTATAGAACTGCTTTGTTTTTTTAAAACGATATCCAACCAAGGAGAAACAACAGGGGATTATCCCGGGAAATCGGCGTTAATACAATGCATTTGTAGATTTAACTAGTTAGCCAGGAAATTTACAGTCTGCGAGAGACTGAAGAAATCAGATCACGGGATAAATAATAGCATCGCGGAGGAAACACATAGCGTCGCGGGCAAATCCGATCGCGTCGGGGCCCGCGACGCTGTTTTGGCCTGGGGAGAACACTGTAATATCAGTTATTTTTTCTCTTTCAAACAAGACATAGATGTGACAACATAGTTGAACTTTTACCCAATGCCAAAAATGCCACAATGTTTCGTTAGAATCATATTTTTGTTTTGCAACATGCTACTAAATCATTGACAAAAGCATACCTTTGACAAATACTAGTTTCATAAATTCTAATACAAATATCAACATTTGGGAAAATGCAATATGAAATGTTTTGTACAAGTTTGGAACCCAACGAAAGCATCAATATCGATGAACTTTTCTCGCCATGTTCCAAATTAGTTTATTAGTTTATTCATTTGTATGCCAGGAGTGACGTCTGTGGTCAAATGTGATTGGTTTATCCGTTCTTGTCATATGAATATTAAAACTAAGTGGGTGGAAGGAAAATCGTATAGGAGTCAAGCTGGTGATAACTTTGTGTCAAACTGTTTTGGGGTGAATTAAACAATGTTTAAAAATGCAAAGGAATTTTGATGGCAGCTTCTTAAGATGTTATAAATATATATGCCTTGGTCAGTAAAATTGGGCTTACTGGTTCATTATTGTTTTGTCTATATCAAGTACAGTCTGTTAAAGTTGCGGGGTATCTTGAAACACATGTCGACTAAACTACGCATGTGCGATGACACCAAAATAACTTTAAAGTGGAAAAGTACATTCAGTGGCAGTTCGCTTCCAAAAAATGTTGTAGGTGTACATCTGACTAACTGACTATGCAAGTTGAGTTGAAATCGTATAATAAACAATCATGTTTTGAGCTAATCATTCATTCTTGCGTAGGGTGTATCTATGGATTGAACATCCATTCATATGTTTCTGTCAGTGAAAAATTTTTGACAGATCACTTCCTTGCAAACAAGGAATGTTTTGTTAAGTCTTCCCTCTTTAAGTGATATTTTATGAACACTGATCATGTATGTATAAATGGATCGCCAGCTTTAATGTCTATTTCTACTAAGGTGCACTCAAATGACATTTTTGTAAACATTACTTTTATAATGTACACAAACTGAATACAGATATTCAATGTTTTATCTCTTGCCTCTCCTGTAGAGTTGACTCCACTTAACAATTCATTTTATACTAGGTGTTTGATAATTATGCTGTGACTGTAATGATTGGTGGTGAACCATACACGTTAGGTCTCTTTGATACTGCAGGTAAGTTCCAATGATTGGATGGAGTTTGTTTTCCATATATACAGCCGTTCTGAGAATTATTCGGACAGTCAGTTAGCAATATATGTTGGAACTTTGCAAAACACTTGGGTCTTTTCCAATCTAGACTTGATGGCGCCGTTGTATTGGCACGCCCACAATTGGAATCATTCCATTATCTTGCAAGATGCGGGTAATACGCTGTTTTCAAAACGACACGCGTTGGTTACCATATACTCGACAGGTTATATGTTGTATATGCATTCAAAGTGTTATTTT